AAGGCGCAGGGGGGGCCCGGGCCCTCGGGGCCGCCCCCCAACCCGCCCGCACCCCCGCAGTGGTGAAGAACTACTTCCAGCTGCGGGAGTTCTCCTTCACGCTGCGGGACGACGTCTACCTGCGGTTCCAGTCCTTCGGCAGCCCCCAGGAGCTGGAGCGGGAGCTGCAGAGGACCAACCCCTACAAGATCGACATCGGGGCCGTCTACTCCCACCGGGTGAGTCCTGCTCCCACCGGGAGCACCGGCGCCGGCCGGCCCTGGGAGGGCAGGGTCCCCGGGTCGTGGGGTCCCCGGCCGGGGCTGAGCCCGTCCCGTCCCATCCCGCAGCCCAACCAGCACAACACGGTGCATCTGGGAGCCTTCCAGCCGCAGGAGAAGGAGCTGGTCTTCGACATCGACATGACAGACTACGACGACGTCCGGATGTGCTGCAGGTTCCCGGGGGTGTTCACCGTTCACGGCACAAGGCGAAACGGGGGGCTGGGAGGGGGGTGCGGGGGCGGGGGGAGGCAGCCTGACCCGCCACGCTCTGCCTCCAGCTCGGCCGAGATCTGCTCCAAGTGTTGGACCCTGATGACCATCGCTGTCCGCATCATCGACCGCGCGCTCGTGGGTGAGGGTCTCGGGGACCCGCGCGGCCCCTGTCCTCGTGCACCGGGGACGTGTCCAGACCACGCTCTGCCCCGCAGCAACACCCAGACCCCAAAGCGGGGGCCGGGGCGGTGCTCTCACGGGACTGGGGGGAAGCAGAGGATGCGCTGGTGCCCAGCAGGGTTTGCGCAGCGGGTTTGCAGCACTGCCAGGCTTGGACGGGCGCCGCAGCCCGTCCCAACACGCTCCCACAGCCCGGCTGTTCCCCCCGCAGAGGACCTGGGCATGAAGCATCGCCTGTGGGTGTACTCGGGCCGGAGAGGCGTCCACTGCTGGGTGTGCGACGACGCGGTGCGGAAGTGGTCCCCGGTGCTGCGGGCAGCTGCCGTGGAGTACCTGACCCTGGTCAAGGTGGGTGCAGAGGGGGCCGGGCACCCCCTGCCCACCCCCCAGGCTGACCCCTCTGTTCCCCCAGGGCGGAGCAGAGACTGTGAAGAAGGTGAACCTCTCCGAGCCCATCCACCCCTTCATCAGGTCGGTGGGGACCCCCCTGCCCGGCCCCTGCAGCCGCCGGCCACGGGGCACTGAGCCCCTCCCTGCTGCTCTGCAGGCGGTCGGTCAGCGTGGTGGAGAAGTACTTCGAGGCGTACGCACTGGTGGGCCAGGACATCCTGGGCAGCCTGGAGAGCTGGGACAAGGTGCTGGCCCTCGTCCCGGAGGATATCCTTCCCAGAGCGGCCCTGCTGTGCCACTCGGCACTGTGCTGGGTCCGGAGGGAGGGTCTGTGCGGGGGGAGTGGGGTCGGCAGTGTCTGCGATCAGCCTTGACCACCGGCCACAGCACCGTGAGCCGCTGCAGGCCGAGTTCCCCAAGAAGCGGGACTCGGTGCAGCGCTGGGAGCTGCTGAAGGGCAGGATGGAGCGGACACGGGTGAGTGACCGTGGAGCTGCCCCGTGGGGGGGGCTGGGTGCCGCCACCGGCCCCGCTGCCCCCTGACCTGCCTGTCCCCACAGCGGGCAGCGGGGACTGGGAAGAGCGCGCCGTGCTACGCGGACTGGGAGATCATGCTGCAGTACTGCTTCCCACGCCTCGACATCAACGTCAGCAAAGGCGTCGGGCACCTGCTGAAGAGCCCCTTCAGCGTCCACCCCAAAACAGGTGGGTCTGGGGCCTGCGGGGGCGGCACCCCATGGGGACCCCGGGGCCGGGCACCTCTGGCTGTGACTCCCCTCTCTTGCAGGTCGCATTTCAGTGCCACTGGATCTGCAGAGGCTGGACCAGTTTGACCCGTTCGCTGTCCCCACCATCAGGTACGTGAGCGGGGCTGGCGGCACTGGGGATCCTGGCTGTGCCGGGCGGGCCCCCCCCCCCCCCCCCCCCCCCCCCACCACATCCCGCCATCTCCCACAGCTCCCTGTGCCAGGAGCTGGATGCAGCTGGCGATGACGGAGAGCAGGAGGACGGCGGGGAGACGGAGCCGAAGCGCCGTGCGCGGGGTGAGTGGGGCCAGGGCTGGGGCGCAGGGGGTCCCCACCGCCTGCTCCCACTCGTGCTCAGCTCCCCGAATCCCCCAGACTACAAGAAGACGAGCCTGGCGCCCTACGTGCGGGTCTTCGAGCAGTTTGTGGAGGAGATGGAGCGCGCCCGGAGGGGAGAGCTGCTCCGGAGAAGCGGTAAGTGCCAGGCAGGGATGCAGCCAGCGGGGGGACCCCGAAGGGGGGGACCCCTCGGCTCTGAAGAACTGTTCTTCTTCTTCGCAGACCTGCAAGGAGACTTCTGAGGCCTCGCTGCCGGGGGTCACACTGGCAGCCCTGGTCCTTGCCGCAGGGCCACCAAGGGACTACC